ATTACAGGCATGAGCCACTACACCCGGCCCACAGAACTGTCCTCTTTTAACAGCCTATTCTCTCAAATCACCTCAAAATTGTTCTAAAAAGTTCAGTATCTAGGCCAGGAGCGGTGGCTCATGCCTGTAATCCCAGCACTTTGGGAGGCCGAGGCAGATGGATCATGAGGTCAAGAGATCGAGACCATCCTGGCCAACATGGTGAAACCCTGTCTTAACTGAAAATACAAAAACTAGCTGGGCATGGTGGCACGTGCCTGTAGCACAGCTACTCAGGAGGCTAAGACAGGAGAATCGCTTCAACCCGGGAGGTGGGGGTTGCAGTGAGCTGAGATCGCGCCATTGCACTCCAGCCTGGTGACACAGCGAGATTCCATGTGGGGAAAAGAAAAAAAAAAAGTCCAGTATCTAAGTATTTTAAGTATTTCAAAATACATGCCAGATACCTTCTATCTAGAAAATACAAACAACTTTCTTTTTTTTTTTTTTTTTGAGACTAAGTCTCGCTCTGTCCCCCAGGCTGGAGTGCAGTGGCGGGATCTCGGCTCACCGCAACCTCCACCTCCTGGGTTCAAGTAATTCTCCTGTCTCAGCCTCCCGAGTGGCTGGGACTGCAGGTGCCCACCACTACACCCAGTTAATTTTTGTATTTTTTCAGTAGAGATGGCGTTTCAGTGTGTTGGCCAGGCTGGTCTCAAACTCTGACCTCAAGTGATCCGCCCAACTCAGCCTCCCACAGTGCTGGGATTACAGGCATGAGCCACTACACCCGGCCCACAGAACTGTCCTCTTTTAACAGCCTATTCTCTCAAATCACCTCAAAATTGTTCTAAAAAGTTCAGTATCTAGGCCAGGAGCGGTGGCTCATGCCTGTAATCCCAGCACTTTGGGAGGCTGAGGCGGGCAGATCACCTGATGTGAGAAGTTCAAAACTTGCCTGGCAAACATGGTGAAACCTCCTCTACTAAAAATACAAAAATTAGCTAGGCATGGTGGTCGGCACCTGTAATCCCAGCTACTCAGGAGGCTGAGGCAGAAGGACCGCTTGAATCTGAGAGGCAGAGGTTGCAGTGAGCTGAGACTGCACCATTGCACTCCACCCTGGGTGACCGAGTGAGACAGTCTCAAAAAAAAAAAGAAATAAAGAAATAAATAAAAACATAGGACCACTTCAGTTGAAAGTAATGAAAGACACAGTGACTATCTGGCGAATCACTGGGAAAGATCCTCCCTTCAGAATCCTCTATGATGGTGTTCCCCAAGGATGCTCCATAATGCCAGCTCCAAAAGATGCTTCTCAAAGGAAAAACAGGTTTCAAGGTCAAGTGAGTTTGGGAAATCTGAGAACTCTATTTTCTGTTGGGGATTTATTTGCATAGAAACACGTCACAGGCTGGGGATTTCTGCAGGAAAGAAACCAGTATTAAAAGCTAAACAAAGAATCACCACATGATCCGGCCATTCGTTCCTAGGCATCGGTTCAGATACCTGTATGCAATGCTCATTACAGCCTCACTCACAAAAGCCAAACAGGAGAAATAACCTAAGTGTCGGTCCACAGATGAGTACACAAGCTCAATGTAGCATATCCACAGACCGAATAGGATTCCGCCTTAAGAAGAAATAAAGTTCTCACACATGCCATAGAACTGATGAACCTGGACATACCAGGTGAAGGAAGCCAGTCACAAGAAGACAATTCTATCACTCCACTTATGCAAAATCCCTACAATAGGCCAATTCACAGTGACAGGAAGTTGACCAGAAGTGACCAGGAGCTGGGGGAGGGGAAACAGGGAGTGACCCTTGAAGGGTATAGACACTAGTCCCATCTTTTGGCTTCCCTGGGCTACAATGGAAGAATAATTATCTTGGGCCACACACAAAATACACTAACAATAGCTGATAAGCTTAAAAAAAAATCTCATCATGTTTTAAGAAAGTTTACGAATATGTGTCAGGCTGCATTTGAAGCCATCCTGGCCTACGGGTTAGATGAAGTTGGTCTAGAGTTTCTAATTGGGGTGATAAAACAATGTTGCAACTGGATAGTGCTAATGGTTTCACAGTGGCATTAAGTAATCCCACTGAACTGTACAGTTTTAATGATTAAAATGGCAAATTCTGGCCAGGTACATTGGCTCACACTTGTAATCCCAACACTTTGGGAGGCCGAGGCGACCGGATCACCTGAGGTTGGGAGTTCAAGACCAGCCTGACCAACATGGAGAAACCTCGTCTCTACTAAAAATACAATATTAGCCAGGTGTGGTGGCACATGCCTGTAATTCCAGCTACTCGGGAGGCTGAGGCAGGAGAAATGCTTGAACCTGTGAGGCAGAGATTGCAGTGAGCCTAGCGCACCATTGCACTCCAGCCTGGGCAACAAGAGCGAAACGCTGTCTCAAAAAAAAAAAAAAAAAGAATAAAGTGTTTCCCAAATTCCTCTGACCCTGAATCTTACCTCACTGAACACCTAATGATTTTGGCAGAAAAGTACCAAACACAACTTTGGAAACAATCCACACGGGGCCCAAAGTGAGGCCCCCACCCAGCCACCAGCGGCACTAGCCCAGGTGTTTCTGCCGCACAGGCAGATGAGGTACTGAGGCAGCTGGTGTCATATCCCTTTTCCAGGTAGGTCACATCAGAGCCAATCCTGAGGGTATATTCATTTAGAAACTGGTCACTCTCACAAGGTTCTCAACTAATACGATTAAGAGGTACGAGGTTCGAAGTTATTAGGTTACCAAGCAAAAGGTCTTCATCTCAGGAGAGCTGCTTCAGTAACTGCTCCCTCCTATTAGGAAGCATTTCCGGCTGACCCAGGGAACTGCCAACACCTTAAATTATATCCTGACATGACATCTGACTTTCAGGCAACATTGTTTATGGAAAAATTCTAAAATATCGTTTCAAAACAAAACAAAACAAAATGTAAAAGGCCAGGCACAGTTACCTGAGCCCAGGAACTCGAGACCAGCCTGGGCAACATAAAAAATGTCTCTACAAGAAAAAAAATAAAACCAATCCCCATTCAAAGTGGCTTTCCTCGGGAGTGCTGGAACGTCAGAAGCCATTTGCTCCAACAACTCAAATGAAAACGTGGCCAGGCAGTGGCTTACGCCTGTAATCCTGGCACTTTGGGAGGCCAAGGAGGGTGGATTGCAAGGTCAGGAGATGAGACGATCCTGGTTAACACGGTGAAACCCCGTCTCTACTAAAAATACAAAAAGTTAGCCGGGCGTGGTAGCGGGTGCCTTTACTCCCAGCTACTCGGAAGGCTGAGGCAGGAGAATGTTGTGAACCTGGGAAGCAGAGCTTGCAGGGAGCTGAGATCGTGCCACTGCACTCCAGCCTGGGCGACAGAGCAAGATTCCTTCTCAGAAAAAAAAAGAAAATGTACATTTACAGCTGGGCACAGTGGCTCATGCTGTAATCCCAGCACTTTGGGAGGCCAAGGCAGGTGGATCACCTAAGGTCAGGAGTTCGAGACGAGCCAGGCCAACATGGCAAAACCCCTCTCTATTAAAAACACAAAAATTAGCTGGGTGTGGTGGCTGGCGCCTGTAATCCCAGCTACTTGGGAGGCTGAGACAGGAGAATCACTTGAACCTGGGAGGCAGAGGGTGCAGAGAGCCAAGATCACGCCACTGCACTGCAGCTTAGGTGACAGAGTGAGACTCCATCTCAAAAAAAAAAAGTACATTTACCACCTATAACTTACAATTGGCCCTGAGGGCAACATGCAAACTAAAGGGAAAAAGAAAACCCAAATCCTAATGGATATTAAGTGAAAACCAGGAAGGACATCGGCCTATGGGAGTGGCCCCAACACCACTCACTCTGCTCAGGGGCTGATCACCGCGCTCCTCTCACCTCTGGGCAGGTGATGATAACCCTGCTCTGAGGCCGGTGGGTGGGACTTCGGCACCAGAGCCATCACATGCGCCTCGTTAACGCAAACGCAGCACAATCGAGACCCCCACTCCCCACGGACAACCCCGGCTTCCACTCGGGCCTGCAGCAGCTTTATTAAGACGGTAAAGGCTGCAAGGTTAATCTCCTACTGAGGGAAATAAAGCAAACCATTTCTCACTCCAGCTCATCCCACATGTGTATGAAATCCTACAGACTCGGAATGTTTCTACGTACTTTCCAAATTCATTTAAAATGGCTCATACTCAATTTATGTTTACAAACTTTTCAAATGAGAATTTAAAAGCATTACAAACACAGCAAAAATCAAGGTGATTTTCAGCTTTCTGCCTACAATACGCACTTTTAAAATACCTTAAGAACCAAAGAAAAGTTCATTGGGTCAACACTTTCATCCACACATCATGACCACTGGAGGAGCTTTCAAAGCTGGCACAGGAGTCCAGAGGCAGCGGTTGTGCCGGAGGCCCTGCTCCCAGGTTCTATGACAGTAAAGCTCAACAGCCTCATTTCATTTCTTCAGACGTGACCGAGAACAGGTTTTAATAATGAAAATGTTCCAAGTGCCTGATCATTTACAAAACCTGGTGCTATTTAAAGCAGTTTTTCAATGCATAGAAGAAAAGGAAGGCCAGGCGCGGTGGCTCAAGCCTGTAATCCCAGCACTTTGGGAGGCCGAGACAGGCAGATCACGAGGTCAGGAGATCGAGACCATCCTGGCTAACACGGTGAAACCTCGTCTCTACTAAAAAATCCAAAAAAAAAAAAAACTAGCTGGGCGAGGTGGTGGGACGCCTGTAGTCCCAGCTACTCGGGAGGCTGAGGCAGGAGAATGGCGTAAACCCGGGAGGCGGAGCTTGCAGTGAGCTGAGATCCGGCCACTGCACTCCAGCCTGGGCGACAGAGCGAGACTCCGTCTCAAAAAAAAAAAAAAAAAAAAGAAGAAAAGGAAACAGATATACAATGCAAAAAATGCTACTTGCTCACCTTGGTGAGGGCGGGGGGCACGGAGTTTCCACAATCTGAGTCCTCTTGGCATCGAGCGTCTGGAAATGGGCTATGAGCGCTTCCAGGTCTTCCTAGGCAAGCAAGCAGGCACAGATGAGACTTGTTCCCAAGACCTGCCGCGGAGCCACAGCCTGCCCAGCTTTACCCCAGTCAGTGTGATTCGACTGGGCTCAGTCACGTCTGTGAATTGTAACATACTGTGCCTGCGTCTGAAATGCAGAGTTTGACACATTCACAAGTAACCAGAGCTTGACCTCAAAGGCAGTTTGCTTAAAGGGTAGATGTGTGCACCAAGTACTATCTCACTCCACACCCCTAATGCTCCCCCTGCAAGACCTTCCACTTAGACAAGCCCATCGTGACTTCACCGCAGACACCCTCAGCACCTCTCAGAGCCCAGGCCCGGGCCGTCGCACCTGCCTGCCTTCCTGTCTGCAGAGCAGTGTCTGATACATTTATCTTGCTCACTTGTTTCCTCCACATCCCTCCACCCCAACAAAATAGTAAAATATGAGCTCCACCAGAGCAAGACGGTGTCTGGTTAAAACACTGCCTGCACAGCAAGGGCTCAGCAAATACCTGCTGCAGTCAATCCGTGTAAGATGGTGTCAATTCTTACTACCATAGAGAGTGACTCGAGGCACGGATGTGCCAGCACAGAGGGCAGCACTGGAACCCAGTGTTCCTGCCTCAGTCCCAGTGCCCGTTTCCCAACATTTACGAGACACTCCCATACCACACCCGAGCCTGACACTTCAAGTTCCTTCTAGCCTTCGGTGTCCATCTTGCAGCTACACACACCTGCAGACCATCTTCCCTCCCCCACACCCATCTCTCCAACCTCACCTCCCACCCTGCCTCACTCTCCAAGATACACTGGCGTCCTCTCCGCTCCTTTAATGAAAACACCGGGTTCCCTCAGCCCGCCACGCCCCACCTCGTGCTTCCTTCAGCCCACCCCTCAGTCTCGGGGTGAACGTCAATCCCTCCCAGAGGCTCTCGCAGCAGGGTATACTGCTTAGTATTCTAAACTATGCAATATTTAAAACACACAAGTTACGGAACTTTATCCAAGACACTCCTGTGCACCGTTCCCAGGGTAAGGAATAAAGTGTCACCCGCATGTACCCACCCACACATCCCCCGAAGTAACCATTACCTGGAACTCGGTGCTTATTAGTCGCAAGCTTTTCTTCACACTTTTATTACACATGTGTATTCCTAAGCAACATATAGTATTGTTTTACCTTTTTTTTTTTTTTTTTTAGACGAGTCTTGCTCTGCCGCCCAGGCTGGAGGTGCAGTGGCGTGATCTCGGCTCACTGCAAGTTCCGCCTCCCGGGTTCACGCCATTCTCCTGTCTCAGCCTCCTGAGTAGCTGGGACTACAGGCACCTGCCACCACGCCCAGCTAATTTTTTGTATTTTTTTTTTTTTAGTAGAGACGGGGTTTCACCTTGTTAGCCAGGATGGTCTCAATCTCCTGACCTCGTGATCCGCCCGCCTCGGCCTCCCAAAGTGCTGGAATTACAGGCTTGAGCCACCACGCCCAGCCATAATATTGTTTTACATTTTTAAATGTCATTAAACAGACTAGGCACAGTGGCTCACGCCTGTAATCCCAGCACTTTGGGAGGCCAAGACAGGTGGATCGCTTGAGGTCAGGAGTTCGAGACCAGCCATGACCAACATGGTGAAACCCCGTCTCCACTAAAAAATACAAAAATTAGCCGGCACAGTGGCGCACACCTGTAGTCCCAAACTACTCGGGAGAGGCAGGAGAACTGCTTGAGCCCGGGAGGTGGAGGCTGCAGTGAGCTGAGATCGCACCACTGCAACACTCGCTCTGGGTGACAGAGCAAGACTCCATCTCAAAAAAATAAAAACAAAAAATAAAATGTCATTAAATGGTATACTGTATATTCTTTCAACTTGTTTTGCTCAACGAGGTTAAACAAACAGTTCAAACCCCAGCATCTATGCGCCAGGAGAGCTCTGCTGCTGCTACTGGAAGGCAGCAGTCTTTAACCTGGGCTGAACCTCGTCATCATTGGGGGACTGAAGGAGAGCAAGGTGGCAGGGTCTGGGTGACACCAGTGGCCTAGTCAGCGACAGCCTCTCCACAGTGACAATAAGCTGAACGCTGAAAAGACGAGTCAGGCGGAGTATGGTTGGGGTACAAGTAAGACCACAGACAGAACTTGGCATGTTTGAGACACTAAAATAAAGGCATTGTGGCTGCAGTGAGCCCAGGGAGACAGATGGAAAGACAGGCAGAGGCCAGGACCAAGTGAAGGTGCGAACCAGGTGACCTGATACATGAGTTCTGTGGGAGCAGAATTCCAAGCTGTCCCCAAGGTCCCCTTTCCCCTAATAATTCCCAGGACTGCAAAATAATGGGATACCACTCTCGTGATTAGGTTGCATTACAGACACAGCTGAATTTAAAGAGATGATCTTCTGTGGGTCTAGTCTAATCAGACGACCAGTTATTTTAAAGGTTTGTTTTGAGGGTTGATTAAGATAACATACAAACCCCAGGACTGATAGACTCTCTCTCTTAAGGGAAGCTACTGTTACAATCACCTTAGTATTGGGCACTGGAGGGAGACATGAAGATCAGTAAAAATGACAGGTAACTGGCAGGACATGGTGGCTCACGCTTTGTAATACCAGCAATTTGGGAGGCCAAGGTGGGTGCATCACCTGAAGTCAGGAGTTCGAGACCAGCCTGATCAATATGGTGAAACCCGGTCTCTACTAAAAAAAATACAAAATTAGCCAGTGTGGTGGTGCATGTCTGTAATCCCAGCTACTTGGGAGGCTAAGGCAGGAGAATCGCTTGAACCTAGGAGGCGGAGGCTGCAGTGAGCCGAGATCGCGCCACAGCACTCCAGCCTGGGCAACAAGATGAAAATCCTTCTCAAAAAAAAAATAAAAAGCAGAAAGCAGATAACAGCTGATTACTGAGTGCTTACTTTCCGCCAAGCACCATTCTGAAGATGCCACACAGATGAACTGACTTCCTGTGCCACAACCCTGGCCAGCAGGCCATGGTACTGCAGTCCAGCCTGGGCGATACAGCAAGACTCCGTCAAAAAAAAAAAAAAAGTCAGAGCCTAAGAGGAGTGTGAGGGGAAAAGTCCAACTCTATTATTTAAGAGATGAGGACATGGAGAGATCAATGACTCAGGAACAAAAGGGACAAAGGAATGTGGTCAAGAGCTCCTGATTCAGGACATCTGGTCACACTCCAGTTCCATATCACTTCATGGTTCACCTGTTGGTCTGACTTCCTGTCAAATGGGAGTATCAGTGCTAAGGAATTGACCTGGTTGTGAGGATTAAAGCCCAGGGAGCTGTGCCTGGCACACGGCAGGCCATAAAACTGCCCCCGGTTAGCGAACCCACGAGCAGCAGCCGCAGAACACTCAACCCCAAGTTCAGGACGGATCATCCTGCAGACCCTGGGCTGAGGACCAGAGGGAAGGAGACAACCGTGATGGCTGCCATCAGCTGCTACAGGATACCCCATGGCTCCAGTGCCTTCTTCACTTAACCATCTGCTGCTTACTCCTCAGGGCTGCTGTGATGACTATCTGTCCTCTTTAGAAAAACGAGAAGGGTGAGGTTCAGAAAAGTTAAGAGTCTTACTCCCAGGCCACACATCTTGCAGAGGCAGCCCCAGGCTCAACCTCACGTCGTCCTACGCCAAACCCCTGCCTCTTCTCACCACCCAGCCTACCTTTAGAGGGAAGGAGAAGTGGGAGGAAACGCAGAAAAACGCCCGGGACACCACACGAAGAAAAGCAAGCACGTTAAAGGAGGCAGCTCCGTCGCTCTTCGAGAAGCGGCCAGACACACGTGGCGACTCGGGAGGGGGCGGGCCCCGTCCAGGCTGCCCGGACGCGGCGCCGGGGCAGTTTCTACGGCCTCCAGCTCTCCCGCGGGGCCGGCGCAGCTCCCACGGCGACCCGCAACCCCGGGCGGAGCTGGCAGTCGGACGAGGCTGCACGGCCGCCACGTCGGGCCCCTAGGCCCGGTCTGACTCGCTCACCTCCTCCTTCCGCGAGCGCTTAGACACCTTCTTCTCCATCTTGGCGGCCGTCTTCTCCGCGCCGCGGCCCTTCTTCTCCTTCTTGCCCTTCTTGCCCATCTTGTCGGGTCCCAAGCCGCGATGGGACACCAAGGTACCAAACGGCGCGCGCTCTCCGCCCGAAGCCGGGCGCTCGTGGGGCGGAGCTCGGCGCACAGAAATGGAGTCACTTCCGGCCTCGAGTTCGAGTCGCTTCCGGTGGAGGTGCGGCTGGGCGCCCTACGAGGTTCAGTCTTGGAGCTCGGTCTTCCGCAGCGGGTTCGGGGGTTTCGAACTCTGCATAAGGCCTCGGAGAAGATGACCCGGCCTGGGCGCAATGGCTGATGCCTGTAACCCTGGCGCTTTGGGAGGCGTTGGCCGGCGGATCGCTTGAGTCCTGGAGTTCGAGTCCAGCCTGGGCAACAAAGCGAGAACCACCCCCCCACCCCCGCCCCGCCCCATCTCTACAAAAGAAAAAAACCAAACATTAAACGGGCGTAATGTCTCGCGCCAGTGGTCCTAGCTCTTCGGGAAGCTGAGGCGGGAAGATCGCTTGAGTCAAGGAGTTCCAGGCAGCAATGCGCCACTGCACCCCAGCCTGGGCGACAGAACAAGATCCTATTTCAAAAAACAGAAAAGATGGCAGCCCCGGCCTGACATACTCTGGCTATGCTCGCCATTCTCACGCCCTGTGCCCCCACCTAGCCTGTCCCCGTGTCCTAGGAGACGTGCCCTCTGAGTTTTATTTTTTTTTTTTTTTATTTTTAGAGACAGGGTCTTGCTCTGTTGCCCAGGCTGGAGTGCAGTAGCGCGATCTCGGCTCACTGCAACCTCCGCCTCCTGAGGAGCTGGGACCACAGGAGCCCACCATGCCCGGCTAATTCGCTCTTTCTGTTTTCCCAGGGTGCACGTGCCCCCTGTGAAGGCACGTTGCTTAGCCCTGTGTAGAACTGCCTAAGTGGGTGACTCTTGAGCTAACCCCATTTTTTCCCCTTGGACAAATCAAATGAGTGCTGTGGCCTCATTTCCTAGAAAAAAAATTAATACAGTTACAACAGTTTGCAGACCCTAAGTAAGACAGTCCCGGCTGAGCGCAGTGGTTCATGCCTGTAATCCTAGCACTTTGGGAGGTCGAGGTGAGTGGATGACGAGGTCGAGAGTTCGAGACCAGCCTAGCCAACATGGTGAAACCCCGTCTCTACTAAAAATACAAAAATTAGCCGGGCGTGGTGTTGGGCACCTGTAATCCCAGCTACTTGGGAGGCTGAGGCAGGAGAATCGCTTAAACCCGGGGGCAGAGGTTGCAGTGAGCTGCGATCAAGCCGCTTCACTCCAGCCTGGGCAAAAGAGTGAAATTTCATCTTAAAAAAAAAAAAAAGACGGCCCCTTCCACCTTCCCATTTAAAATGTGCCAGACACCGTTAGGTACTAAGGACATGTCCTCAAATATCCTAACATGGAGGACTTTTGTTTCTTCATTGGTAGGCTAGAGCTAATGATAGCACCCTGCAAGGGTACTCAATTTGTGGAGCCTGAGAAATAAAGATGGGTAAGATCCAAATGCCTGCTAGGAAATTGTACTCTAGGATTTCCCTCAAATTATGTAAGAAATGGCAAAATCATCTGCAGAGTATGGAATGTTATGATTTGAAAGAGCAGAGTAAAAATGCTTATCATTCCTTAGAAGATGTCATCTTTGGACTGGTAATCAAGGAATAAGGCAAATTAAGGACAAGGACAAGCCAAAATTTGGCAACGGGAAAGCATAAATCAGGAAATAATCTAGTTTATTACTTTGTGTGTGACTCAGCCTTTAATAAATTGTCTTAGGCCGAGCACGGTGGTTCATGCCTGTAATCCCAGCACTTTGGGAGGCCGAAGCGGGCTGATCACGAGGTCAGGAATTCAAGACTAGCCTGACTAATATGGTGAAACACTGTCTCTACTAAAAATACAAAAAAAAAAAAAAAATTAGCCACGTGTGGTGGCACACATCTGTAGTCTCAGCTATTCAGGAGGCTGAGGCAAAATCACTTGAACCCAGGTGGCAGAAGTTGCAGTGAGCCGAGATCGAGCCACTGCACTCCAGCCTGGGCGACAGTGCAAAACTTTGTCTCAAAAAAAAAAAAAAGAAGAAGAAGTAGTTAACTCGGCTGGGTGCAGGGGCTCACGCCTGTAATCCCAGCACTTTGGGAGGCCAAGTTAGGCAGATCATAAGGTCAGGAGTTCAAGACCAGCCTGGCCAACATGGTGAAACCCCATCTCTACAAAAATACAAAAAAATTAGCCAGGCGCGGTGGTGTACGCCTCTAATCCCAGCAACTCAGGTGGCTGAGGTAGGAGAATTGCTTGAATCGGGAGGCAGAGGTTGCGGTGAACCGAGATCGTGCCACTGCACTCCAGCCTGGGCAACAAAAGCGAAACTCTGTCTCAAAAAAAGAAAGAAAGAAAGAAAGAAGTTACCTTAGATCCAATCAATGACTAGTCACCGAGCAGCCAAGGAGGAATGATTTTCCAACCAACTCCAAGGCTTGTCCATAAACCTAGTTCTTCAAGAAGAAAAATGAAATTAAGGGAAATAATGAGAAGAAAAGATAGAACGGGTTGAAGGCCACCATGGTCTCCAGCACTGCTTGTAGGAAACCTGTGTGGTGGTAGAGGAAAAAAAAAAAAAAGAACCAGTTAAAAGCTGAGCAGAAAGGAGCAGGAGAATTTCACAGAAAGCCGGCCTAGGCATCCAGGCATGATTATCTTCCATGATGAGCTACAAAAGGCTAACTCCTCACTATCGCCCTGGGGAAATAGTTCTGTCCCCTCTAGTGTGCTATGACTTTAAGAACACACCTAATCCTTTAACATTTTTCTAAAAATCCTGGGTAACCCTGAGGCCATGCACTTGAAGCAGAAAGGCCCTTCATTCACAGCTCATCTGTCTGCAGTACATTACAGTGGCACCCACTTCAGGCCGGAGAGAGGCAGAGCGTACGACCTATGGAAGATTTAGGAGGATCTGGTGGACACGGGGTTTAATACTTTTATTATCTGAAAGAAGCTTGAAGCTAAATTAGAAGGCTCTTGGATTACAGGCATCATGGTGATTTACGTGAGATGGAAATTCTCATTACTGAGAAAGACAGCAAATAGAACATCTAAAATGAGATCAGATCCTAAAAACAGTCAAAAGATTAAGTACAGGGCTCTATTTTAGTAAAATTCACATCGTTGAAACTAACGGATTATCTTTAATCTATCCCTAACTCTTAGAGTGTATCTTTTGTGTGATCAGGCGCCCTCTGCTGCCTTCAAGTTGAAGTGCAGAAGAGAAAAAAAATCTGTTAATACTAGACTAAATTTTTGGAAAATATGCTGACTTCTAATTACCCTCACCATAAGTAATCAATGTCATTGGAAGGTTCTGCCAAGCGTGGTATGGATTACGTGGCTCTTTGCACGTTTCCCATCAGGAAAGTGAAAATAATGAACTAGTTCACCTACTACACAGGATTCTTCGGAAAATCAAGTGAAACAATAATAGTTTAGGAAAGTAAAAAAGCAAAATACAAAGGTTTTTTTTTGTTTGTTTTTTGAGACAGAGTCTCACTCTGTCACCCAGGCTAGAGTGCAGTGGCACAATCTCGGCCCACTGCAACCTCCAGCTCCCAAGTTCTTATCTCAGCCTCCCAAGTAGCTGGGATTACAGGCATCTGCCACCACACCCAGCTAATTTTTGTACGTTTCGTAGAGATGGGGTTTCACCATGTCGGTCAAGCTGGTCTCAAACTCCTGACCTCACGTGATCCACCCAACTCGGCATCCCAAAGTGCTGGGATTACGGGCGTGAGCCACCGCGCCCCGGCCGTACTGAATTTTTTCTACTTCTTTGAATCCATTCCAGAGAGAGGAATCATAAGATTTCCAACTATAATCAGGGATTTATCTACATGTTGCTTATATACAATAAACTGTGTATATTTCAAGTGTGCACAGGTGGCTGGGGTGAGGCAGGTGGGTGCTGAGGAGTCAGAGGGATCTACAGTTGGCCCCTGCCCTCTGAGAAGGGCCACCCACTCAGGAGGGGCCTCAAGGGATGAGGAGAAACGAGGATGGAATTTGTCAGCCTTGAAGTTCCAAAATGGAAACCTGGAAACGTGTGTCCCATCTTCTTCATGAAGATATTCCAATGTCTGTCTGTCTTTTTTTTTTTTTGAGCTGGAGTCTCGCTCTGTCACCCAGGCTGGGGCGCAGTGGTACAATCTCAGCTCACTGCAACCTCCACCTCCTGGATTCAAGCAATTCTCCTGCCTCACTCTCCCGAGTAGCTAGGATTACAGGTGCCCACCACCATGCCCGGCTATTTTTTTTGTATTTTTAGTAGAGACGGGGTTTCACCATGTTGGCCAGGCTGGTCTTGAACTCCTAACCTTGGATGATCCACCCCCCTCAGCCTCCCAAAGTGCTGGGATTACAGGTATCTACCACCGCTGCCCGGCCGATTTTTTCCATGCTTTTTTTTTTTTTTTTTTTTTTTTTTTTCTTTCTTTTATACGAGACGGAGGTACTCGCTGTGCTCTGGAGTGGCAGGTGGGCGTGCATCCGCTCCTGCAACAGCGCGGGCTCCGGGTTCACGCCACTTTCTCCGCGCCTCAGCCTCCGCAAGTAGGCCTCGAGACCACAGGCGTCACCCCACACAGCCCGCCGCTAGTTCCACCGCGGGTTTCACTCATGTTAGCCAGGACATAGCTCGTACGATCCCTCCTGACCTCGTGATCCACCCGCCTCGGCCTCCCAAAGTGCTGGGATTACAGGCTTGAGCCACCGCGCCCGGCCTCGATTTTCCAATGTCATAGCATAAAGCAATATGTGATGTTCTTCTAATTAAAACAATAAATTAAAGTGTTTTAATATGTAATAATACTATCAAAGCCAAATAAAAATCTAGAGATGGATCTCTAAACAAAACATCTTGTATGGGAATCATAGAATTACATTTTGAGGCATATCCACAGGCTGGAGTGAACTTCGGTATATCCAAAGAACAAAGATAAGGTTGGGGGTTTTATTAAAAAGAGAAATGTGGCAGGCGCAGTGGCTCACGCCTGTAATCCCAACACTTTGGGAGGCCAAGGTGGGTGGATCATTTGAGATCAGGAGTTCCAGACCAGCCTGGCCAACATGGTGAAAC